ATCCTCTCTTTGGGGGAGTTCCTGCTGGAATTTCCTTTGAAACACACAAAGCCAGGGTTTTTTCCCACTGTTTGTTGGTGTCCCTTGACAGTCTTTCATACTTCTGTCCAAGACCTGTAATGGATGGAGCCAACCATCCGTGCTTGCCAGGACACCTGTCTCAGGAATGCATTACAGGATGCATAGCAGAAGCTGCACAGCTAAAATTGTGTTGTCTCTCATGTCCCTTTAAATCAAAGTTAACAGGAGGGACTTGACGGTCTGCTTTAATTTTATTAAGACCCTAGAGTAAAACTGTGCTGCATAAGATCGCTACTGTTGGTTGTATATCTTCTTGATAATAACAGTTCTTCTAATGGCAGCTGGCTGAGAAGTTCCACATCTATCTACAGCTTTCTGAGTAGAGGTGTGGGGATGAGGGGATGCCTCCCCACACTGCCGAGAACTTGTTGCGCAGCTTTTTTCCCCTCTCTGTTATGTTGGTTCTAGGAATGAGGGATGGTAAGACTGGGTGAGACCTCAAGAGGTTACCTAATCTGTCCCCAAAGGCAAGATCGGCTCTGCCTGTGCCTGACAGATGCTTGTCTGCTCTTTTTGAGGCCCTCCAAGAATTTTTCTCTCCCTTTTCCATGTGGCTTACCTGTCTTGTAGAGCATTTCTTGATCTCAGCCTGATGTGTGAGGTGTCTTTTCCTTGCCCCGCCTAGAGAAGATGTGGATTTGAGTTGCATCCTTTTTCTTTGCAATCCCTTTGTATATGCAAAGGCCACTGTCATGTCTCCACAGCTTGCCCACCCTTCTTTTTTTTAGCCTAGTAAGCCCAAATCCTTCAAGGCTTTCATGGGTCTCTGGTGGTTCTTGGCACTCTCCCAGACCTCAGACTGTTATTGATGTCTTTTACGGCATAAATGTACCTTCCAACTTGTGAGTCCTTATCTTAATGTTTAGGTTTGGAGCAGATACGCAAAGAAGCTGTCAGATCTTGCCAAACCAGAAAACATTGATATGGCTGTCCAGTGTCTGAATGAGCTCATCACCAATGCCCTCCACCATGTCCCTGATGTCCTTACATACTTATCCCGCCTGAAAAACCAAAGTGTCTTCAACTTCTGCGCTATCCCCCAGGTGAGTTATGTTCTCAGGTGGTTCTTCATTGTCTGCAGCCCAGCTGATGAGAAGTTGGAGGTGAAGGAGGTTACGTATCGTGTCGGCATTAGCCTGTTTTATTCTCCATCTCTTCTATCTCTTCCTTCTTTCCTGGTACCTACCATTTCTGCTGTCGGTGAGATTGTGGCTCCACTCCGGAGTGTCTTGCCATCGATTTCACTAGGGCCAAGGTTACTGCCTTGGCAAGCTCCTCCCAATGCGGTAAGGGCTCTTTGTGTTTCTCCTTAGGTGATGGCTATTGCCACGTTGGCTGCCTGCTATAACAACAAGCAGGTGTTCAGGGGCGTCGTGAAGATCCGGAAGGGACAAGCTGTCACTCTAATGATGGATGCCACAAACATACAAGCTGTCAAAGCCATCATGTACCAGTACGTGGAAGAGGTAAGTCAATCAGTTTGCTTTAAGTCATTTCTGGCTGGTCCTGTCCTCATTCCTGGTGTGGAATTGGGAAGACACATGAATCTGTTAATCCTTTCCTTACATCTCTAAGTCAGTTCAGTGGTGCCAGGACACAGTGACCCTGACGTGGTTTTGGCTTGGACCCAACTGGGTGCTTGGTGTGTTCCCTTGAACATGCCCTTGGTCTGTGCCTGTGTTGAGAGGCAGAGACGGAGGTCCTGCCGTCCTTTTGGTGGAGAACCAGAAGAGTCAGCTGTCACAGCACGGGACTTCCCTTGTCCTCTGTGTCTGCTCAGCCCCTTTCCCACAACATACTTCTTCTGAACCGGGTACCTCATCTCCCCATGGGCTGCTCCAGCGAGCGGCCTTCTTTTCTCGGTGTCTGTAGTTGCAGCTGGCAGCATGATGTGGTGGTTGTTTCCTTGTGCTCCACGGCCAACAGTAAATGAGGGCAGCTCTTTGCATGTTGTTAAAGCAGTGGGACCCCTGGCTTCAGGGTACTGTGGAGGCTAAAAGTTCACCTGGAGGAACAACTGGTGGATGGATTCATGGGAGGAAAAAAAAAAAAGAAACCACTCAAGAAAACCAAAACCCAAATCCATCGTGGGCTGTTCAGTAAAAAGATGTTGCTTCTGCATCAGGGAGACCCCAAACCATGGGTTATTAGAGCTCCCTTTGCAGGCTGGCCAACCCCATGGCAAGGGACAGTGACACCTTAGCCCAGGGTCTCTGCTTGTGCATGTGTCCCTAAGACTCGTGCAGACAAGTATCTCAAAGACCATCGGGTTTGCAGACCGTGAAGAGAAAACCCCAAGGACCCTGGGGGTTATCTAATGGAGGCGGCCATTGCCTGGCAGTCACACCGGCTGCTGGTCACACTGGGGTGTCCTCACTGGTTTGGGGTGGGCTGCAGCACACCGGCGGCAAGGGTAGCTGGGCAAGAACCGCTGGCCCCAGCAACGCCACTGGTGGTTGAGGGATTGTGTCTGAAGCCGTGCGGTCCATCTCCCATCATGGGGTGCCCTCAAGAGGCTGCTTGGCTTAATGCACCTCTCAAGGGAAACGGACCGTGGCCCCATCCAGCCATCCCTTGCAGCTGGTCCTTGCTCCATGGCAGACCACCGCTGAGGTTGCTGTTGAGGACACAGTGGTCCCTGAAGGCTTCCTCTTCCACCCGGTGGTCCCGTTTGTCTCCTCAGCCTTGGGTGGGAACCGTAACTCCTCCTTCCTCCTTCCCCAGATCTACCAGAAGATCCCAAGCACGGACCCATCATCCAACAAGACGCAGCAGGTCATCGCCTCCATCCGCACCATGAGCTTGCCCGGCGGCCCCATGGCGTCGCGCCACCACTATTCCCCCATCTACCTGTCGTGTGCCATGCTCCTGGCCGCCCTGAGCTGGCAGTACCTCAGCACCATCTCCAAGGCCACCGAGGAGTACGTCCAGGCGGGCGAGAACTGATGGGCAAGCGGGTGGCCGGGGGGGAAGAGATGGTCGGTGGACGGGCGGCGGAGGCAGGAGGCTCCTCGTTCCCTGCTGGTGGGGATGGCCAGGCACCGGGGTGCCACGGGGCCTGGGACGGTGACGAGGACGGGACGCCGGTGAGCTGCAGCCCCGGGGCGATGGTGCGGCATTGCCGGACTCCGCTCCTCACCCCCCTTGCCGTCTGCTTGGATGGTTACAACCACTAACCGGAGTCTTATTGTTTGGGGTTGAATTTTTTTTTTTTTTTTTCCCCCCCCCTTCTTTCCTGTTGGGACGGTTTACCTGATATTTTTTTTTTTTTTTCTGGTTAGGATGGTTTTTAAATAGGAACTCCAGTTGCCTCTTTCCTTGCTTGAGATTTGAGACACCTTTCCAGCTCAGAGCTGAGCAAAACCTGGGTTTTGCCTCCCTTTCTTAGGCAGCCTCTTCCCCATCGCCTCTAGTGCCTGCTCTGCACTGGAAGGACACTGCTTTGGCTGGGAGAGGAACGTGCTTCCTTGTCCAGGGAAAAAGCTCTGGCCACCTTCTGGCCCTCAGCCCAGGCTGGTTGACATCCTGCAGCCTGGAAACAGGGAGAGGCAATCTTCACATTTCTGGTGTTGGGCTAAAGGAAGCTGCTAGGCTTGAAACAAGCCCTTTTAATGTTAAATAACAGAGGTGGGATGCTCTGTCCACTTTAACGTGCCCCTAGCTGAAAGCCATCTATTGCAGCTCCCTGCCCTCTGGCAGACGGCACCCTGCACTTGCAAAGCTTTGTGTTTCAGCGGCTGTGGGGGTGGTTCAAAGGAGAAGGGAGCTGCTTGCGTGGCCCTGAGCTGATAACCCCATGCCTGACTCCACTGCAGGGTCTGGGCTCTGCACTGCCCAAAGGCAGCGGCGATCCCTGCCACGGGCTGGGAAGGCTTGAGCCACCGAGGAGATGGCCTGGGTGGGTTTCCCCGGGTTTTTCCCCACTTGGCTCTAGCTCAGGAGGATGCTTTGGCTTAGACGGACGTGTAACTGGAAATGGCTTTCACTGCTGTTTTGAAACACATCAGCCTGGACTTACATGTGGGCTGTGTACCTCCTGGGAACAGCTTGGGTGAGAAGAAACAACACTTTAAAGGCAAGTCCCGTTTTCCTGGGGTGGAGTTTTGTTTTCTTGGTCCCTATCGCCCCCAAATGCTGCTTTGTCTTTGTGAAGGAGAGGACAGCCTGTGTCCTGGTGCAGGACGGAGCCAAGTCTACCAGGTATGGTGTGGTGGCCTTTGCAAGGCCAAGCGGACATGGCCAGACTGTTACTCAGAGGGAGGACCCCTACTCCACAAGTACCAATGTAGATAGTTTTAAGCTGTTGTTCAAGATAACTTGCGGTAGCTCTCTTTGTGCAGCTTCCTGTCTTGTTGAAATTAAAGTTTTCTTTGGGAAAAAAAAAAGGTAATTTTTTTTCTAGCTGTCATTTCTTTTACATTGGTAATTCCCCACCATGCTACAAGTTACAAGCCCTCAACTCAGGTGAAATGCAGGTGCTTCCTTGCTGCCACTTACAGGCATCACAGTAAAGCCTTGTGTGCCAAAGGAATAATTGTAACCAAGGTGAGAGACCGCTGAAGGTCAGTAAATTAACTTTTAATGGACCTTGCCCTGCAGACAGGAGCAGTGGCACTGCAGGCAGGCTCTCCAGGGCCTTGGTGCATCCTCCTCCCCCTGCAGAGATGCTGGGGGCAGTCCTGCCCCCAGTCTGGTCCATGGTGAAGCACCTTCCCCATCACCAGGAGTAGGCAATGCCCCGGGGCTGCTCAGGAGTTGGCACAAGTCACTTCGTCACCAGTATGGCCAGAGGACGGGGCTGGGACTGACCACGCTTGCATGAAGACAAAAGGGTCTCACCTGGCTTCCACAATGCACAGAACAGGAGACTAGGCTGAGGTGGTTTGAAGTCAAGCTGAAGCAACCAAAGGCCAGGAGACAAGACACTGGAGAAATCATTTATTGGCACGGTTGTTCCAATCATATACACCACAGCTCTGTCTCACTGGAGTCTGAGTAAGCAGAGGTAAGGGGCTATTTTACAGTGCAAAGGAGAGCCTGCTTCACGCATTTCAGGCCTGTAGCCTCAGCTCAGCAATATATTTTGTGCTTTAAAATAAAATTTAAAAAAAAAGCTCTTTCGCTCTTAGTGTTGGCAAATCATATGATTCCTCCTACGCAACTATCGCACATCCCCCCAGTAAGAAAAATAACAATTCTTTTCTTCTTCCTTAATGTCTGTGGCTCGAAAAGAAAAAAGCTTCAGTTGTGTGCAAGTTAGTCAGATACCTCCAAGCATCTGCATGAGCTCCCTGCAGCAGACCTGGGGAACATCCCTCACCTCTGCTCAGCGTTCAGCACCTGCAGTCCCCAAGCACCACACCAGGTAAGATGCAGCACTCTTGCCAAGGCACGACCCACTGCACACACCAAGCTGCCCCGCCACGGATAAAAAAAAAAAAAGTAATTTGCACTTTCCAGTGTCCTCCTAGATGTTGCAGGACATTTGATCAAAGGCTTGTGGAGCTCCAGGCAGGCCCTCTCTTAGGATCAATAACCCCAGGCTACAGCAGGAAAAAAAAAAGCAAATAAACAGCTGAGGAATGAGTGGTTTTAAAAGCAGCCGAATGGATGGAGCAGAGCAAGCGATGCACAAAGGACTTCTTGCAGGCAGGAAGGGGCATTACTGCAGCTCCGGCCAGAGCCAGCCCCACATGAAGTTCATCGGTATTTTGTCATTAATAGGTCTAAGTTCAGCCAATTCAAGGCACACGCTAACATACCCTGCTTATTTTAGGCGCTAACGGTCAGACCAACCCGGCCAGGGGTGCGCAATCTCCCCTGACCACGGCTTCCCAGCAAGATCCATCTCTGCTGCCCCACCAAGTCCCTCGTCCCAGCACAAAGCTACTGCTTCCTACCCTCCCAGTAACAGACTGGGCTGGAAGGGGTCCAGGCTAACCAAATACCATGGCACAAGAGGCCAGCGAGCCCTCCAGCAGTCCTTTGAGCAGGGAATGCCCCATAGCTGTGACCCACTGGGAGCAGAGGGCTTGCAGAGAGCAGTTCCACCTCCAGCTCCCCCACAATTAAAAAAAAAAAAAAAAAAAAAGATAAAAAGCTTTAATAAAGTAACCTCAACTATAGTCTCTTAGAAGGGGGGGGGCTCTGCACCCAACCCACTATCAGTTAAAAGTATAGGGGACTCAGGATTACTTGTGGTTTGATCAAAAGGGTTACACCCTCTTCCAGTACTGCTCCGTACTGGGGATGCCAGCCACGATCTCAGACTCGATGCCGCAGTGGTCCTCTCCTCGGAGAATTTTGAAGAAGCCTGGAAGCACACCAAGAGCAAAAGTCAACCTCCCCATCACGCCAAGGAGAACGGGGAAGGGGTTCCCTCCGGCAGCATCCAGGGGTGCCTCACCATTGTCCCCCCAGTCGGTGTTCCAGGAGTTGGCGGCCAGCCAGTACGGAGTGCCGTTGTCCACCCCCCAGCCCAGGATCCGGATCGCGTGGCCTCCAACCTGCTCGCCGGACACGTGCTGGTAGACCCCTGCAAGGCAACACGGCAAGACGTCAACGGGCACCCACCTCAGACTGCTGCCAGCGCGGGAGAAATTCCGTATCAAAGCCCAGAGACCAGCCGAGAAGTGGGTTTTTTTTTTTTTTTTTGGTTAAATGCAAACCTGAAGCTTAGTGTAGAGTCTGGAGGAAAGATTGATGCTAAGCGTCAGCTCGGCACGTGGGACACCCAGAGACACTCGGCAAGGAGCCCAAAAGGTGGCACATCCCAAGCAGTTCAGAACAGGGAACTGGGGTCCGCACCAGGAGAGCCATCTGCCAGGATTTTACCTAAAATCCTGGCTGTTGTTCTCAGCTGCAGTTCTGGGAGCTCCCCACTGGGGCTTCCTCCCTGAACCGGTCCCAAACACCTATTCCCCTTGCTGTAAACCAACGGATACGGGAGATGGTATCTGCCCATGTTCTTACAACACCAGATATTCAAGTGTGAACTTGAGATCTCCTTTCAGACTTGAGTAGAGGGAAAAGGGCCACAAAAAAATGGACCCTATGGATGAAGTCGGGAACCGGGCTCCCTACAGCCTCGGCGCTGATGCTCACCAGACTTGTACATCAGGAAGTCCTCATAGACAATAAAGGCTCCTTCCACCGGGCCGTTCTTGTAGATCTCAGCCATGATTTCCTTCTCGCTGTGGGGGACACCATAGGATGTGATGCCTAGAGAGAAAAAAAAAAAATAAATCCCACCATTAGTACGGCATTGTCAGGCCACACAGGTCTTGGGACAGCTGGACAGTGACCGCTTGGCATGCCCGTGCAAGAAGCCTTCTCCACTTCAAAGTTAAATTCAAACCCAGCTGACACAGCCAGGCAGGGAAATTGGGCTCCAACCATCCCTCTTCCAGAGGGAACAACTTAACCCGAGCCCTATTCTGTACCCAAAGACCTATTCCAGGCAGCTTCGGTGGGAAGTTTTCCCCTTGTACACCTTCACTTCCAAACCAAACCAAATTACTCGAGGCTAATACAAATCTCCAAGAAACAGCCGGACTCTCCTACAGGTATAGTGCTGGCTGCCACCAAGGAGTAGGAAGAAGGTGACTTTTACACGGGACCCCCCCAGGGCTCAGCACTACGCTCTTCAACCCAGGCATGTGCACCACGAGGACCCGGATCAGTTCCCCCATCTCCGTTGAGTCTCCGCAAACACAAACTCTGCATCTGCCAGGCTTGCTCCAGGACCACCCATCCTGAGGCCACAGAAAAAAAGCCACCATAAAACAGCTTAGAAAGAGGTCCAACCCCACCAAATTACCACTAGGAACAGCTCCGGAGCTGCCGTGCATCAAGCAGCAGCCAAGACCACCTCCCTTACCGTAGTGCTTGTCCTCCTTGTACGAGGGGGAGTAGCCAGGTTCGCAGTGCCGGCTGCACCGGGGGGTCTCCCCCCCTTCCCCGGTGCACGGCGGCCGGGAGCCGTTGACGTGGTGCTCGCAGGGTGGGATGGAGTAGGGACGGCAGCCTGTTGAGGACAGAGGGAGCATGAACTGGCTGTCCCCAAGCATCCAACAGCCATGCCGGAGAAGGCACCAGATGCCCTGAGAAAGGAGATGACGTTTCTGACCTAGAAACCCCGCGGATCAGTGGGGCGCGAGCAAAAGTAGGTCTGCCGCTGCCAGATGAGCAATCCCTGCGTCAGCAATGAGTTTGCCCTCTGGACCTGCTTCCCACCACCTCTGTCTTGACAAGGGGATGGAGAAGATGGAAACATGAACCAACTCATGGCCATGCTAGGAGGAGGTAGAGATTTCCAGTCTGGAAGTTACTTTTTGAGGGGGAAACATGTCAGGAAGACTCCTGCCCTCATCCCAAGTGTACTGAACTGGTCCAAAACCAGCAATAACAAAAAAATTCACAGCCTGATTCTTTCCTGCTATGGAAGCAGAAGCCTTGTGGGGTTGTTAAGTCTGGCTACTGTTCTCCCTTCCTGCATGGGCCTCCTGCCACTAGGTGCTGCTCAGGGACCCTTGTCCCAAAGGGTGACCAGAAGGAGCCCTGGGGCCAGGAGCAGCCAGCTGGGCTAGCACAGGTGTTTGAGCCCAGACCTGAAGGAGGCAGCAGCCACACAAGGATGCAGACCAGAAGAGAAGCACCCTGAAGGACATGAACCTGTAACTGAGCAGAGATGCTCCTCTTTGCTTTCACAAGGGCATCTGCCAGGACTTACCCACATGGGAATCGTAGAGACCCCCAGACACAAGGCCCCTCTCTGTCCAGTACCTCCACGCACCAGAGGGGTAACCACCGTTGCACCTGGAGAAAGAGACAGAAGTTCCAGCACGTCGAACCTTTTTAAGTCTGTCCCTGCCTTCCTCAGGATTTCTAGGCCTCAAGACACCAAAGCCTCAGGGCAAGAAGGAGCTAAGAGCACCCATGCCTCCAAATCCCGAAGCAGTGATGCCTCCTTACCAGGTCCCCGGTCACCCTCTGCTGCCAGGAGTGGCAGAAGCCACACGACTTGGAGACCCAGCTCCCCACCCTGCTCTCGACAACTGCAAAAGCCACAGGCAAAAGGCTTGTGCCTGAGAACCAAGGCTTTGGGGCGATTAAAAAGATCCTTCCGTTGGCTTAGGCAGCTGCCAACTCTGTATGGGAAAGCATCGTTACATGCTTGCTCTTCCTCCACCAGCCATCATCACCCACTACTCCTGGGGGCAGGACGCATCCCAGAGGGACTTTCAGTCCATGCAGTCACCTTTATGTTCCCACCTAACTCCAGCATCTACGGCACAAACCGCTGGTGGGGCTTCCTGCTCATTAGGGAGACGAGGAAGACAGGGCTGAAACGATCAGCCTCTTCGGGTTGTGTCCCTGCTCCTCCCACCCACCTTTTAAGTGCCCAAGAACCACGAGCAGCTCACCCCATGCCGCACTCGAAGCCGCAGCACGACAGCAAGTCCTCCGCCGAGACCTCCACGCTCACCTTGGCGTTTGTGTGAACGCAGATTCTGTCTGAAATCGCTTCTACGGCGCCAAAAGCCTGCGGGCAGCCCCAAAAACCCGAGGGAAGACCGTTAGAGCTGGCCATGGGAGAGAAGCCAGGCAACCTTCTGGCAATGAGTGCAGCAAACATGAGCCCAGCTGGGAGAAACCCACCAAGAAGCTCAGACACTGCAGGATCCCCCGTGTCCCCCCATTTATGCAGTTCAGCAGCAAACTCAACAGCATGGGTTTTGTCCGGCAAAGTCTGTATCGACACAACCTTAAACCGCCCGTGCTCTTACCCAGCAAGAGCCACAGGAGCCCTGGTCTCTTATCTCATTGATGGTAGGACAGTTGGGCCACTGCGTCCGCGCGTCGAAGTTATCGGGCAGCTCCATGTCTGCAGCAAAATCTACCCTGCGAGTGAGAAGAGGGAAGTCTGTTACAGGAACACCAGCGTAACAGGACTGGATGCACAGGACTTTCCAACCTCCTCTGAAGGTGACCTGGAGGACAAAGGCTCTTGTTGTTTGCTTTCTGGAGGAGAATAAATACTCCTGAAGTCCTCAGACCGGGTCAGCAGCTCCTCCAGGGTTTTGAGTTTCAAGGAGTACAAATTACACGATTGGTCAAGTATCTGGCAGGACAGAGGACGGATGTTTCCCCCATGCATGCTTCTGTGCTTAATTCCATGCAAGATGTCCACCAGGCTGCACCCAGGAGAACCCCACTCACAGTCTGCCAGGAGACCCTCACCCACTCCAGACACACCAGGAGCACCCACACAAGCTTTTACAGGGCCCTCATCTTCTTCTCCCAGCACTCACCTCTCGGGAAGCTTGGGCCCACCCAGGAAGGTGCCGCAGAGCTTCTTCACATAGCTCATGTCAGTGTTGTGGAAGTTGTGCCCTGCCTGGGAAAGAGACACAGAGAAACGGGATGTGACTCTTCACAGCCACCAAGTGCAGTGCTGGGACCAGCCTGGTGCTCCAGATCTCCCTCAAGCCCAACCAGTGTCTGACACTTGCTATAAAACCCAGGGGCCAAGAGCCAACGTACCTATAGACACAGACCACAGCCCCTTCCAGCATCACGAGCAGTAAGCTAAGGTCCAGCTCTAGGCTTTGGCCACAGCAGCCCGGCCAAGGAGGGTTTGGCCAGGTCGTCGATATAGCTTGACACTTGCTGCTCATTTCCAGCCTCCCACAGAGTTTCCTCCTCTTAGCTATTGCTCCTACTCTACAAATTCATCAGTGCTTTGCTCCAAAGAGAAGCTCCACAGTTACTGTCACTGCGGGAATCCCTGACAGCATCAACTCACTGGAGAAGTCACCTGGGACCAAGGCTGGTTTGATGCAGCCACCGTGGTGAGACTCCCAAAGCTCAGCTATTGAGTCCCACAAAGAGATTGTTGACAATGCATCCAAAAAAAAAAACCCCCCCCCCCCCAAAACCAACCCGGTACTCACCTTCCAGGTGGTGTTGAGCTTGTTTATGTGGTTGACCAAGTCGCTGGAGAGAGGAGGGTAGTAAGGAATGCTGCGAGCGTTAGCGAAGGCCACCAGGACACACAGGATGGACACGGACGGCCACATCTTGGCTACAGAACGGGACACTCCACCTGCAGCCAGATTTAGGCATCATTGGAAACCTTCCCAAAGCGTGCTCGGACCGCGAGCAAGGGCTTGCCAGAAGGACTGTCACAGCAACACGTGGGAGCGTAAAACACATGGCTGCACCAAGTCCCTCCCAATCCTGATTTACCCCAAAGGTCAGGAAAGACGCAGAGGCAGACTAATAACCCTCCTCCTGCAGCTCAGGAGATATCAGACAAGGCAACCCTGTTTGTTGACCACTGCAGGATTAGTAGCGGCAGGAAAATATCTTTTGTAGCAGATCCAAGGGATTTGGAGGGTATTAACAGCTGTGTTTACTTCCACAAAAATGGAGAATAAGGACTAGAAAGAATAAGTGACATCTCACCTCCACGGCAAACTGCAGGCAGGGCTGCAGCCGCGGCGACTTGCTAGCCCCCGCCCCAGTGTGATGCTCTTCCCTTTGAAGATCTCACTCCAAATCACATTTTTGGACTTTATGGCCTCATTTTGGCCAGCCCGTTGCCCTGGGGACCCTGATCGGGGTCACAGTCCTGGGGTAGTGAGCCCCTGCCCATGCAGAGGGGGGGTCCGCATGCACTGGAGCTGCTCGTGGCTGCTGCCTGCGCTCCCCTCCCTCCGGGGCTTTTCACGAGGGAGGCTGTGAAGCCACATCCCTTAACACAGGGCACCAGAAAAGTCCCAATTTGGGGAATAGAGATGCAGGAAAAATCCAGGAGCACAGCAAGGGTGGACCACAGCCTCCCGTGCAGGAGCACGAGCATCACCCAGCCCAAAGATGCTCCAGAGCTGGGTGGTTTCTCTGCTCTCCTGCCTCCTTTAACCCAATTCACATTAAATCGCCCAACTCCAATTTAACCCCGAAAACCAGCAGAAACCGCTTGCTCCACATCCCCAAGCCTGACTCAGACACACAGCCGGACCACGAGCTGCTCGACCTCTGCAAACACAGCAGAGCACCCTCCTCCCAAAACCTCCCAGCTCCCCTTCCACCAACCCCACATCCACCCCGACGAGCTCCAAGCCTGACAAGCGACCCGAGACCTCAGCCAGTCCACGGTAGCCTGAACAGCAGAGATATTTAGGCTTTAATTCCTACTCATCTCAGCGAGCTGAACGTGTAATCACCTTTGCGAGCCTGGGCTTAAACCCTTCTGGGCAAATTACACCCGAGCAGCCGGACACGCAGCTCTCCGGCCCCGCGGCAGCCCAGCTCGCTGAGCAGGGTCAGGAGATGGGAAGACGCACGGGCATTTCCATGCAGGCTGCCTCCACCCACTCACAGCCAAGTTTAGCCTTTCCAGAGAAAAAAACCCAGCAGGAGTGTCCTACTTTCTGCCAGCAACAAGCCCGGGCAGCTGCAGCTAACTGTATAAAGGGGCTTTTTTTTTTTTTTTTTCCTTCCTTCTCCTCCTTTCACCATTTATTTATTTTCCTTCCCACTCTCTCAGCCCAAAAGCTAGTTGAGTTTCAGCAGCGTATGGGTCCTCCTACCCCCAGATCTCACCTCTTTGAAGGTGTTCCATGCGTATTTGCTTGCTTAGAGGTTTCTCACGGGCGAGGGACTCGCTGGCACTGCTGATGTCCCTGCCATGCTCCCCTGCTCATGCAGCAGAAAGGAGGTTACACCCAGAAAAACAAATACACATTTCTAAGGCTACTGTAGTTTTTGCCTTGTGCCCCTTCAACATGGCTATAGGAAGCCTATAGGTGACCAGCCTGACCCGAAATACCTTTTCTAATCTAAAATCTTTTTTAAAAAAAAATCCAAAACCTAAACCCCAAAGCCTCTGTACTTCCTGCAGTCAACTTCATATTTCCTGTAGCACAGAAAGGAGGCTTTTGAGGCCAGAAGCCACCTGATACACTTTCGTTTTCAGCAGGATGCTTGTAAATTTGCTGACACGCTGAAACCCGCCCGCAAAGCCTCCCACAGCAATACGGCTGCTTGCACCGAGCTCTTGATGGACGGACACAGGAGATCTGACATCCTCAGGTTACCAGACCACACCGGCTGCAGGCTGTGAGCTCCAGGCAACCTGAAACCCAACTGAAAAAAGACACCAGGCAGTTTCCCCTCCGACAGCCGCTCGGTTTTATAAGCTCTGCTGCATTGCATCCGCGCCGTGACATGGCTGACGGCCAGCAAACCCAGCGAGACATTGCCCAGCGCAACCCAAATAGCTGGGAGCCAGTCCGTTGTTTTCGGCAAAGAAGCCTCTTGCCAAGTCTCCCATGGGCATGAGGGCTCCCTAGGGGCTATGAGAGAGTTGGGGTTGTTCAGCCTGGAGAAGAGAAGGCTCTGGGCACACCTTATTGCGGCTTTCCAGTACCTAAAGGAGCTTATAAGAAAGATGGGGACAGACTTTTTAGTAGGGCCTGTAGCGATAGGACAAGGGGTAATGGGTTTAAACTAAAAGAGGGTAGAATCAGACTAGATGCAAGGAAGAAATTTTTTATCCTGAGGATGGTGAGATGCTGGCCCAGGTTGCCCAGAGAGGTGGTAGCTGCCCCATCCCCAAAAACATTCAAGGTCAGGTTGGACAGGGCTGTGAGCAACCTGAGCTAGTTGAAGATGTCCCTGCTCGTTGCAGTGGGGTTGGACGAGATGACCTTTAAAGGTCCCTTCCCACCCAAACCGTTCTGTGATTCTATGAAGTCTCCTGTGGGCCTGAAGTCTCAGGGGGGAGCTGATAACTCTCAGCTGGATGGTACGGAGTATCCCAAGACCTGGGTGGAGAGGGAAGGGGAAATCCTTGATCTCATGCAATTTCTTCCTCCCTAACCCCCCCGGCTTTAGCAAGCACCCTGCGTACAGCAAATCTATAGAGAGCACAGGCACAGGCCTCACAGGATGAATTTCCACCGAGAGCAAGTCACTTGCAGCCGGAGGCATGCCGACCCCAGTGGCAACGCAGCAAGTAAGAAAAGGCTGCTGGTTTCCCCATCGCCCTCCTTTCCCCACTGCCACGATAGAGTAAGACGCTTCCCGTGGCAGCGTTATCTCCCGCCCGCTTCCCCCACCACCGCTATCTCCTCCGCACACACCTCCCTCCCCGCTGAAGCCCAACGGCTTGAAAACAGAAGCGAAGCTTGGCTGTTGGACTTAAGGCACAGCAGCTTCACCCTGGTAAATTCTCTAGATGGTTGGAGGATGTTTGGGGCTTGCAAAGAGCCCCCCAAACTGCTCTACCTCTTCTTGGGCTGCAGACCCGGGAGCTGAGAACAAGTCCCCTGCCTTGGGATCCAAAGTATCTGGTAATGCAATTTCTTGAAGGACAAGCAAGAAATAACTCCAGAAAGCTGCTACCCACTAGCACACCTGACCCTGGGTAGGACTCTCTCAATTCAGCCAGCTGGTTGCTTTAAAAAGAAGAAATTTGGGCCACCTGAGTGCAGCCCTTGAGCGTCCCCCTCCCAGCTGGTGAGGAGGAAGCACTGAGGCTGAAGGCTCTCCAACACGAGCTGCTCAGAGCAGCTGCAGCATGCGAGGGAGGAGAGCATCCGAAGCGAGATGGCTGCGGCTGGCGCTGCACCACCCACCCGCAGTCCCTCTGCGCTGCATCGGCGCAGGCAGAGAGATGGGGAGGGGGTGACATCACCCAGGTGCCTTCTCCATCCCTTCTGACCAGGAGATCTTGGAGCCAGCAGCAGTTCCCTGCCTGCTTTCTCAAGGACAGAGCTCCGACTACTTGGACCACGTTATGCCAGAGATCAGGAGGGTCCCACCGCCTCCTCCCAGCGGCCAAGGGAGATGCAGAGTCCCACCGCGAAGGTCTTCTCCACATCACCCAGAAATCAAAGCCCACAAGTCCCATTTAACCGGGCACTTCTCTGCACAATCAAAAAAAAAAACCAAACCACCCCCAAACAGGCTATTCAAAGCCCAGCTCACATGACTCAGTTTAGGCAGGTCAGGCCATGAGATAAGTCACAGCCCTGAAGTACCTGCCAGCTCCTCCAAACCCCTCCAGGCACAGACAAGGCACCCACACACCCTCTTCCAAGGCTGGGAGGAAGATAAAAGCTGTCCCACCCCCCCAGCTCCAACACCCCCACCCCTCCTGGGTGAGAGGTACTCAGCAAAGCCCAAGTCATGTGTCCTCCACCAGCAAGAAGCCCTTTACCCAAGCTGAGCTTTGTCCTTTGTTCTGGCTGCCAGGATTTGTGCGTGACTCTAAGCCACAATAAAGCAAGCCTGTAAACAAAGCAATCCAGCTTAGCTTGCTGCACCGCCAGGTTAGCTTGGTGGTCCCACAGGCATGCACCAAACTCATGGCCTGGTGACTTCATTACAGCCATTGTCAAAGCTTGATTTTTTTGTCATCCTTTAAAAAAAAAAAAGCAGCATGAGGCACTCTTCCCCACACCCATTCCTTTCCAGGAAAGCCAAATCATTAGCACAGGTTAGGCATCTGGCAAAAGAAATACACCTTGAGACAAAGTTGCAGCGCTCGCCTCTACAGCTTACATTCACAGAAAGCGCAAGATTCTTCCCAAATGGAGCTGCACTGATTTTTTTTTTTTTTTCCTCCCCCCCTTCTTCTTCTTCTCACAGGCCAATCCACAAACCAGAGCCTTGCACAAGACCTCAGCTGCTGCAGCAGCCACCCTGCGCTACTGAAATTCCTTACCCTCACCCTCAACTTTGCAACCTGGAGGTAAATACAAGAAGGAAGCGATCTTTGCTATCTCATGCCCGCAGCACAACCCTGAGAGTGCGATATACGGCCAACAGATATATTGCACGCCAGATATATTGCAGGACAGAGAGATGCGAGGCAGCTTTTACCCAGCACCATCTCCAAGCCATGGCCCTGGTGCAGACCCAAGCTCAGCCCCGCATCACGGGATGTTCCCAGAAGCCCTTCAGCGGGTGCCAAACCGACCTCCTTAGCGTCAGCTGACGAGCAGGGCTGGGGTTTGGGTTGTTTTTTTTTTTTCTTCTGTCTTCATCATGAAAACAAGGTTTCCTCTCCCCTCCCCTCCCCCTCACAGCTGAAGCTTTGCTGGTTTTGAGACGCACTGAGGGTTTTAACGGCGTTCTCCCTGCGACCCACCGAGCCGCAGAGCATCCCTCCCGGCCCCACCACGGCCAAAAAAACCCAAAACCCAAACCCAGCTGGAAAACGTGGGAAACGCTCCTGCTGCCCCTCGGGGAAGGGGTTCGCCGCCCCCCCCC